GAGCCGGGCCCGGCGCGCCGCAGCCGCCTGGAGCGCAGATAACGGGCCCGGGGGCCGGGCGCGGCAGGGGCGCGGGGCAAGAGGTCCTCCTGAGGAGTTTGGGTTTTATTTTGTGCTGTGGGCGTGGGAAACCATAAGAGAATATTAAGCAGGTTAGAGATTGTCTGGGTGACTTTGGGTGAGTCCCGTAACCCATCTACGTTGGAGTCTCTTTTTTTAATCTTTTTTTTTTTTTGCTTTTTTTGTTTTTGTTTTTCTCCTGGTACCAGGAATTGAACTGACGACCTTGTGCTTGCCAGGCAGGCGCTTTGCCGCTGAGCTAAATCCCCAGCCCCCGTTGGAGTCTCTTTATTTGGAGAAGTAAAGAATAACGCCACCCTTACAAGGTTCTTGAGAAGATTAGATGAGTCAGTCAGTACAGGCATGGTGGAGTACACCTGCAATCCCAGCATGCTGGGAGGCCGAGACAGGAGAATTGCACGCTGATGCCCAGCCTGGGCAATTTAGCAAGACCTTCACTCAGAATTTTAAAAGGGCTGGGAACATGTAGCTCCATTCAAAATGTCCTGAGTTCAATCCCCAGAACGGGGGTGGGGGGCTGAGGGAGGTGGGGTCAATATAAAGTACATTAGTGTTCAACACTTTACATATGATCTTATATTATGGTTCTTTGTGCCTTAGCCCGATTACACGAGGTGGTCTGGTAAAGTGCACGGTAAAGAAGCATGGGACTGAAAGTTAGCAGCGTGTGTATTACTGTATATCCACGTACCTGCCGTATTACCCAAGTGTTTTGGCACAAGTTCCCTGAATGCCCAAGCATGACTGCTATGCCTGGTACAGCACAGTGCTCAACACATGCTTGGCGTGTGTTAGCAAAATTGGGGAGGGGGTTGTTTAGTTTGAACAGGGTCTCCCCATGTAATTCAGGCTGCCTTCAACTCAACTGTGTACTCCCGATGGCCTTGAGTACATAGTGAGTCTTTTTTTTAATTTTCTTTTTTTGTCTTTTTGAGACAGGGTCTCGCTATGCAGTTCAGGCTGGCCTTGAGCTCACTTTGTAGTCCAGGCTGGACTTGAATTCCAATCCTTCAGTGCACCCATTACAGGCATGCACCACCATGCCCAACCCACAGTGAGTCTTCTAACTCAGCCTCGCAAGTGCTAGGATTACAAGCGTGAGCCAGCAGGCCTGGCTGAGGATATTGTTTTTCAAACTATGGGCTGTCACTCAGTAGTGGGTAGTAAAATTAACTTAGTAAGCTGCAAATTAGCATGTAAAAACTAGAGAGAGAATGGAAAATATTGTACATAACAGTGTTTTTTTAAAAAAACTTCTTTGCCAGGCATGGTGGTGTACACACGCCTATAATTCCAGCACTCAGGCGGGCTGAGACAGGAGGATTGCTGTGAGTTTGAGGCCAGCCTGGGCTACACAGTGAGTTCAAGGGTAGCCTGGACTAAATAGTGAAACCCTCTTTAAAAAAAAAACATAAATAAGTTTTTTTTAAAATTGTTGCAATGCTGGGGATTGAACACAGGACCCTGTAGATTCTAGGCCAGTACTCTGTCGATGAGTTACCAAAAAATTTTTGAGACACCATCTTGCTGTTTTCCCAGCTGGTCTCAAACTCCTGGGCTTGCATGATCCTCCTGCCTCAGCCCCCCAAGTAAATGCAACTACAGGTATGTACCACCAAGCCTGGCTTTCAGAATTCTGTTCATTTATTTTTTATTTTGAGGGAGGTTGAGACAAAGTCTTGTTATGTAGTTTATGCTAGATTTGAACTTACTATGTAGCCCGGGCTGGCCTCAAACTCAGCGATCCTCCTCTTTCAGCCTTCCAAGTACTGGGATTACAGGCCAGCACTACCACATCTGGCTATTTTTTATTTTTTTGAGATAAGGTCTCAGTATGTAGTGCATAGTCCAGGCTGGCCTTGAACTTGTGGCAAGCCTACCTTGGCCTCCTGATTACTAGGATTACAGGCATGAGCAACCACAGCTGGCTTCAAAATTTTCTCTTTTTTTCTTTATTCTTTTTTTGTTTTTTTTTCTGGTACCAGGAATTGTTTTTTGTTTTGTTTTGTTTTGTTTCTGGTACCGGGAATTGAACTCATGACCTTGCTCTTGCCAGGCAGGCACTGTGCCGCTGAGATAAATCCCCAGCCCCCCCAAATTTTATTTAGCCGGGTGTGGTCGCACACACATGTAATCCCAGCACTTGGAAGGCTGAGGCAGGAGGATTGTTGCAAATTCAAGACTGGCCTGGGCTATAAAATGAGCTCAAGGCCAGCCTGAACTGCATAGTGAGACCCTGTCTCAAAAAAGACAAAAAAAGACCAAAATTTTATTTAAACTTCTTAGAAGCATAACAACAGAATGACTGATGGAAAGAGAAGCATCAGCTTCCATCACTCCCCAGGTTTACTCCAGGTACCATCTTCCTTGGACACCACGTGTGCAAACCAGTGATTGCAGTGATGGCAGTATATGTCTTTTACAGGCCATGGAAGACACCCAGACCATAGACTGGGCTGCTGAAGAAGAGGAGGAGACAGAGAGAGCCAGTGAATCCTCTGGGTGTAGTTTGGAGCCTGTTGGGCGGCTGCGTGTGTTTGGCGGTACCTATGGACCAGAAAAAGGTCAGGGTGTTAGGTACTGAAAGGTTGGATGGGTCTCTTTTCATGGATAGTATTAGAAGAAACACATTTCAAGGAAATCTGAAAATTGTTTTACTGCATATGGAGAAGGTGGCAGGGTGGGGACAGCTGAGTTGACTGGACCAGGCTGGAGCCCTGAGCTTGCTAGGAGGGATTTGTGCTCTAGTAACACAGCACAGGCAGTCTGAAGATGGGTTTTGGCCATGGTTGTACGGCAGTGTATACTTAGTGCCACTGAACTTTACACTTAATGTGATTAAAATGGAGGCAGGTGTGGCGGTGTGCACCCACAATCCTAGCGCTCTAGGAGGCTGAAGCAGGAGGATCACAAGTTCAGTTCTAGCATGGGCAATTTAGTAATTTAGCAGGATGCTGTCTCAAAATAAAAACTAAAAAGGGCCAGGGTTGTAGCTCAATGAGAAGGGCCTGGGTTCAATCCCCAGTACCACCAAAAAAAAAA